AGAATCAAGTCATTGTGTTCGCTATATTATAAATACTAAAATTAAAAGGGTTTTAATAAATACACATGGATTAGTTTTTCTAGGGCCACCCTTAGTTATAGCTCAGTATTTCCTAATGTGTACTCTTCAGAAAACTGAACTCAGCAAATATTCTGCAGAGGAAAAAAAGGGGTTCTAATGCCATGTTTAAATGCCTATTAACACTTTGATAAAGCTTATCAGCAAATTGTCCAGATATTTAATCAAAGAAATTATCAGGGTTTTTTTTAAACAGTTGCTCCTAATTTTTACAAAACTAGTTAAAGCCCAGCAGTAGTAATTTAGGTGTCTCTCACATAATTAACTTAAAATGTTTCTCTCAGTAGGAAAATGACTAAATTTCCAAGTTGTAATACTATTCACCTAGTAAAAAAGTTGAGTTGTTTCTAAATGTGATGGTAATTTAAGATATTCACAATACATCACAAAATGATAGAACTGAACAGCAGAATACTATGTAAATACATATATCATAACTAATTTTGTGTAAAAAATTTATGTATGTTTCTATATACGTAGAAAATATATTGAGGGACACCTAGAAAAAATAAAATCAAAATGTTAACAGGGCTACCAAAGGGCTACCAAAAGAGAGAAGGGTATGATTTTAGAGACAGTAGGTGCGGACTTTGGCTTTTTATTTTGTACATTTCTATACTTTAATTTTTTTACATTAATGTTTTTCCTTTCTGTAATGTGATAAATATTTGTTTATGTATTTTTTTAAATCCCTTGAAGGTTTAACTAAAATAGCAAGAATGGCTATTTTTGGATAATGAGAGACATGTTTTTTCTTTCTTTCTACTTTTTATTTTTTTCTAGGGAGCCTTGGTACTTTTACTGTCTCGCTAGAAAAAAAAANGAAGAAAAGAGAAAGAAAAAAAGCATTACAAGCATACAATGAACTTCCAGAAAAGAAGAAAAGAGAACAGAACAGTGGTTATTAAAGGTGGGAAAGGTAAAATGGAAGGGGGGTTAGTGAAAAATTAGTTAAGGGTCACAAAGATTCATTACATGTTGTAAACATGAGTATACTAATTATCCTTATTTGATCACCACATATTGTATGCAAATACTGACATTCAAATCTGTACCCCACAAATATATACATATAATTATGTCTCAATTTAAAAAAGAAACTGTCAAAAAATAAAAATATCTAAATTAAAAAAAAAAAAAACCCTGAGGTCAGAATTTCACTTGCCCTGTTCTGCAACACTAGGCAGTGTGTGAATAATTCCTTCTTCACAAAGAATCAAGTCATTGTGTTCGCTATATTATAAATACTAAAATTAAAAGGGTTTTAATAAAT